AAAAAACACTGCTCGGACGAACGAGTAGGGATCGGATGTTGAGTGTCCTTATTCTAATGGACGACTGCTATGCAATTCACTTGAACTGCTGTGCAAACCAACCTTTTTTTTGGTTGATGGACAATACGTGTACAGACCTAAGTTGACTAACTTACAATCGTCGCCCAATCCTTCCACCTTCAGGCGACTTACTTTGTGGTACGATGAATCCCTATTTCCTTGCTAATCTTATAGATGAGAAAGTGTGGATTCTTGTTACTCAATCACGCCAAAATAACTGAACGGATCTGGATGAATTTTGGTACAGAGATTGTAGTCTTATATGTAATGAGTGATTTTTTGCTAGTATCTTTTTGGCAACACTGTTTTTGACAGATGACGCGTGAATCGTGTCTTGTGTCATTGTCAAACTTGTTCAGTTTGATCTATAATTTAACCATGAATCGACTTACGAACGAACAACGCTTGCAAATTATTGAATTTGACTATCAAAATTCATGCTCGGTTAAGAGAATGCATCGAGCACTGCTTCCAATTTATGGGCAATTTGGTCGGCCTACTGAGGGAGCTATTCGGAAGCTTGTGACTAAATTTCGAACCCAGTTTACATTATTGGACATTGAACCACCAACACGCAGACTTAAATCAAATTCAAGCGGATAACCAAATGGAAATGGTATTTACCATTTTGGGTTGGTATTTACCAATCCGTTCAAGCGAGTGTAGTTATCAGTTTGGTTATAAGATCCGTGACGTCACGAATCAGCTGTTATATGTCATAGTTATCACCGCAAAATTGTGGTATTTACCCAACTCAAGAGTAGTTTTATATTTCTGGTTATTATTTGAAATGTGACAAGTTAGAATTTTGCCGGGTATTGGATATTGTTATTGTACTTCAGCTTCATTTTTGAGGAAAATGATACAGGCTGACTTCAGTTTTACCATAAAGTGGAGCACCTTATTAGTTATACTCATTACGGTTGTTGAGGACACTTTAAATGTAGTTCCTATGCTTAACAAAGTATCCTGTGTAGCCATATACCACAAGAATATTAAAATATGGCCATATAAACTCACTAGATGATATCCACCTGTATACGGTTTTGCTAATATCTTTTTTCATCATTTCTGCTGAACCAATAAATGTTTTCTTTGACATGCGAAAAAATTTTGAGAATTGAAAGTTATCATAGCTACGAAGCCATGGTTCCATCATTAAAAAAAATCTGAAAAAAGCATTTCTCCCATGAATATTATGAAAGGTTTCTTATTTAAACTTTCCATATACAGTTGTAGACGAAAAAGCACCGATTATTAAGTGATAATAAAAATAATCAGAGATTATATACGCGCTTTTCTAAAATAAACAACTTGCAACAAAACCGCGGTTAAAACCAACGCGTTCAAGCGATTCGTGTAACCGACGTCATCAACCCGTGTGTCATCTTGAACCATATTATAACCGCGGCACATAACACAGAAATTTTGGTTATTCGCTTGGATTTGATTTCAGAGTGAGAACTGAAGAAAATATTGCGGCTGTATCCGCCAGTGTCAGTGATGACCGTGAAATGTCGATTCGCCGCCGTTCGCAGCAATTGGGCCTCTGTAACTCCACTACGTGGAAAATTTTGCGACAGGATTTGGGTGTAAAACCTTATAAGATACAGCTGGTGCAAGAATTGAAGCCACATGACCTCCCACAACGTTTCCAATTTGGTGATTGGGCGCTGGCAAAGTTGGAGGAAGATAAACATTTTTATCGAAAAATTGTGTTCAGCGACGAAGCTCATTTCTGGTTGAATGAATACGTTAACAAGCAAAATTGCCGCATCTGGAGTGAAGGCCAGCCAGAAGCATTGCAAGAGCTACCAATGCATCCCGAAAAAATCACTGTTTGGTGTGGATTATGGGCCGGTGGCATCATCGGGCCTTACTTCTTCAAAGACGACAATGGCCGGAACGTAACTGTGAATGGCGAGCTCTACCGTGCGATGATAACAAACTTTTTTTTGACAAAATGGAAGAGCTCGAATTGGCTGACATGTGGTTTCAACAAGACGGTGCCACATGCCACACCGCATACGAAACAATGGCCCTATTGAGAGGCGAGTTCGGTGAACAGTTTATCTCACGTTTGGGGCCTGTCAATTGGCCGCCTAGATCGTGTGATTGGACTATTTCCTGTGGAGCCAGGTTAAGGCTAATGTCAACAGGGATAAACCAGCAACGATTGACGTACTGGAAGCCAATATTGAAGCATTTATTCGTGAGATACCGGCTGATATGTTGGAGAGAATGTGCCAAAATTGGACCTTGCGCATGGGCCATCTAAAGCGGAGCCGTGGCCAACATTTACATGAAATACTCTTTAAACATTAAATTATATCGACCGTTCTGTCGACTCAAATAGAGATTTAATCGTTTTTTCAAATTTTTTTGTGTTTTTTTTTGTAAATCAAATCCTATACCTCTTAAAAATCACCCGGTACTTCATGGGCTCAGCTGGGTGTCTGCACGGAAGCGCTCAGTTGAAAGAGTGCATACGGCGAGGTTCAAATTTGGCTGATGTAACGTGTACGAGACAGAAGCGCCATAAACGTGCGCAGATGGCCTCCGTGACCTCATACTCGGGTTGCTAGGCAACGAGGTGCTTCCATCTCTTTCTAACATACGTATTGCAAACGTCTCGCACTTCTCTCTCGTACACATAATATGCGATACAACCGTAATATTATTATGACGTCAGTGGTATTTGGTTTTCAGTGTATTTCTTTCTATACAGGGTGACTTCGAAGTTGAGTCATTTATTTTAACAGTGAGTAGATCTGATCAAAAGAAATGTTTTTTCCTTTAACATTTTTCTGGTAAAATTAAAGTAACAAATTTATAGCCCTTTAGAAGTTTGAGTACCGCCCTGTCTCAATAATAATATTATGTGCTCGTGTTTGGCGACAACGGATATAATCCGCATCGGTTCATCGCATCGGAAACAAAAAAGCGAAAGAATTTGAAACGTTTATCACGATGTTTTTCGTCAGTCGGCAACGCGTGAGTGAATAGTGGTGTTTGTTGCGTGGCTCAAACGAAATAAAAAATGGCACATGTTTACGAAAATGCTGAACTTGTGGACATGATTCTTATTTACGGGGGGGGGGGGAGTCTTTACAAAATCGGTTTCCCAATCGAGTGCAACCAACCCCTCGTGCCTTTGTTAATGTAGTACAAAGGGCTCATGAATCAGGTGACTTAAAACCTCACAGGGGATGCCGGTGCTCCAAGACCGCACGATCAAATACAGGTCCGCACTGAAATACTGGTCGAGAGGATACTTTATAAAACAAGGTAACATTTTTTTTATTTTTTTTTTTATTTTTACACACATATTTTGGTTTATCTTCCTTCTACAATCGCTATCTGAAAATTAATGACTCAACTTCAAAGTCACCCTGTATATTTTTTTTTGAGTTTTCACGCCAAAACGGGTGAACCGATTTTGATGAATTATAGCATAGATATAGGTTAGATATTGTAGACCGACGTAGGCTACTTCTTTTTGTGAAAATAAAACTTGGACGGGTTGAAGTAGGGGGAGAAAGTTACTTAGGGGAAACTATTATCTTTTAAATTGGATTTACCAATACGGGTTGTGTACATTTGGTTCTTTGATACCTTGGAAATTCCAACCCTAAGATGTGAAGGAAGGTTGATACTTTTGATAATGAATAACTATAAATATTTTAAATTAGGCCAGTCTTTAGGTAGCAGCTTGCTTTGTCTAAAATAAAAAAAATATTATTAAAGATTTTGAGATATATATCCTCAGGATAAAAAGTCAACACCGTGAAAATTAAAGAAAAATAATACCACGTAATGTAATTTAAAATCTGAAACTTGTCCTGTAGTTGTCTCAGTCGTCTCAATTTCCCTGCTTTTCTAGCCGCCAAAGTGTACTTTGAAAAAATCCACCGAGGTGGCCGAAACGTGAGAGAGCTTCTACTTCAACATCTGTGGTATCAGTCGGCAGCCAGCAAAACAATGGGTTCGACATGACGTGGCATCGTTAGTTTCGCATTTCACGAATATACAGGGTGTCCTGAAAGTTGTAAATTTCCTTTCCAGAAACATACACTTTTTCAATAACAAGGCTGATGAGTGGTGAAACAACCGCAAAAGATTAAAAAAAAAAAGAAAAACTACTCACCGTTCATCGAAAAGAGCTATGTCACTTGTAAGTATTGCTTAAAGATGTGTGCGATAGATTTAAATACACATGTACGTGCTCGACGCAGCCAAGGATCGATGTAGGCTTTTAGAATGGACTGCCTTTACTGAATGAATGCAGATTGTTAAATTTGCACACGTATTTCGTCAACCGTATTCACCACAGTTTTATGCAATAAGCATTTGGGGCCTCAAACAAAAGAAGAAACCACGAAGGATCTAGATCTAGAATAACGATCATCATGCACTCACGAAGCCTCGGTAGCAATTCGAAGACACTCGTCGATATGTAAATGTTTTGTTTACCAACTCGGTCAATGCCTGGATTGAGTACTGATGCACATTGTACGAGTTCGCGTTTGATCTGATCGAGGTGCAGGACCTGATAAGATTTTTTTTAGGTATGATTGGTTTTGAAGAGTCTAACATCTCGATAATTTTGACTTTGGTGTATATATGTTACTAAAAACAGCTGCTCATTTTTTCAAGATCCATACACCGTGTAAGAGAAAGTTCCAACCTTGAGTACACCCTGTATATTCATAGGTGGGATTGTCACATCTTCGCACGCTACAGTTTACAGTATAGAGTTTTTCAGTAGATCCATATTCGCTTATTTGCTTTCCATTCTCTCTCTCCGATTGATAGACCCACACCGCTAAAAAGCAAAAAGTAACGTTGCAGGGTAAGTCCGGGGTAGTTGGCCATAGTTTTTTCTAAGCTCTGTCAGAAATAAGATACTTGTGTTTTTATAATTATATTTATTATTTATTCAGCTTTAAAGAATCAACTATGATATTATAAACATAAAAGTAACAATTTCTAATGAGATCACCTTATTAATTTAAGTTTTTTTAAAATCTCTTCCGAGGTGTCCGACCGTGTTTTCCATGGCATTAGAGGTAAGATGGCCATTACTTAGTTCTAGGCTTATAATTACTTTTTGGTCTCATTGTTTATATTTAAGTTTTCTTTTCTCCTCTTCGCGACATCTGCAGCACATCGTTTCAAATGCAGTGCAGTGTACACTGGCCCACTGTACATTGAAGCCAGCCTTCGATGAGAACTGTTTCGTAGTAATTTTCACCACACCCACGACAGTTGTCTTTTTCGCCTAATTTTATTTTCTTACTCTTATCTAACAATATTTTTAATGGAATATCGTCACTATCATCAGGTAGTCTTCGAATGACAGATCGGACAGTGCATTCTTTTCCCTTCTACAATTTTGACACATTTTCTTACGTTTTCCTTTTTTAGATTTTTCTCTGCAGCATTTTTTCTAGTTTTGATGTGTTCTTCTGAATTCAATAGGGTTCCAACTTGCTTTGCTCATTTACGCTCTTCAATCAATTTTTGTGGAATAGGTGATATATCCTGTAAAATTCGAGATGGGGTGTAATCTGGATCTTTACTGAACGAAGCCTCTTTCGGAGAGCTCGGGTGTGAAACATTAGACATCGTGGCAGTTTTTACGGAGACTTTTGATTTTGTGGAAACGATTTCAGGGCTATAGTTTGTATAACTTCTTGGTTCATAAGAACAACCTGGTATAGGTTCTTTTTCACTGTCCACAGCAGATGTAAAGTGGGGAAGCACTGGTGTAACAGAGGTATTGTAGATTCTTGAATAAACGCATAATCTGGCACCGGTTCTGAGTTGAGGGGATACACTCCAGATGTTTTAAATCCAGCAATTGCATTTTCCGATTATGCTGCTTTTCCCCAAGCCTTGCTAAGTAAAGCTCTGAAAGAAAACCTCGATATTCGACGCCCTGGATTTTGGATTAGTTAAAGTTTACACTGCTTAATGATTTAAAAACAGAGCGATCTAAAGGCTGGAGATAATGAGACCTGTGACTGGGCATTGATATCAAAATAATGCCTTTCTGGTTGGCATATTCTAACATTTGCACAAAGTAGCCAATTTCATATCGTTTTCTTCTCCAAATGAAGTAGGTGATCTCATAGGTCCTTTCCTGTCATTATTTTTCTCGATTCTTCTCTCTAATGTTTTTCTAGGTATTTGGTACTGGAGACCTGCCGCGTAATCCATCCCTTTCCACAGCATTAATAGCTGCTTTTAGTGATTCTTCCGACCAGTTTCCTCCCTCAGCCACTGTATTTATCTTGTATTTATTAGGCAACTAAAACAAATATAAAAATAAATCAATTATTTGCATTAAACATCATTTCTGTACGATGAAACCATGGCCATCATATACCGACTGCAATTGGCCATCTCTCCTTCTTTTCCGGGAGAGATGACCACAACGAAAACTAAAACAAGTCATGACACGAAACAAATATTTTTGACGTTATAAAGTAGCATTGTTCGTATACTTTGCAACAAATACAAATATCACCATTATTTTAAGAAACCGACACCACAATTGTGTAAAACAGTTGACATCACAAAAATATGCACAGTAGTCAAAACAAAAAACAAAGAGCTTACATCCTTTTTCCAATCCACAGTTTTTTGTTGAAAGACATGTTCATCACACTGTTGGAGTTATGGTTTGGGGAGCGATAGCTTATGGTTCCAGGTCACCTTTAATCTTCATCAGAGGTAACATGAACGCGCAGCGTTATATCCACGAAGTTCTAGAACCCCATCTTTTACCCTATCTTGACACCCTGGCAGATCCAACTTTCCAACAAGATAATGCCCGACCATATATTGCAAGAGACACAATAGACTTCTTTCAACATAATGATGTCACATTGTTACCATGGCCACCAAGATCTCCCGACTTATCCCCAATTGAGCACGTGTGGGATATGATGGGTAGGAGATTGCTCAATTTGCAACGTCCTCCTCAGACTCTAGAAGCACTTCGAGAGGAGTTGGTGGTTGCCTGGAATAAGATACCACAGGAGGACATTGACCACCTGATCAGAAGCACGCCTAGGCGCGTTAGAGAATGCGTAGCATATCAGAGTGCATCCACACATTATTAAAGGTCAAAGGGCTTTAAAGCAGTGCAATCATTTTGAAATCTTTATCATTTACTTATTATGCTTCATTAAGTACTTATACAAAATTTTATTAAAATAAAACCATTTAAACTGGGTGTTCGGATTTATATGTCACTTAGTATAGATCCTATTCATGCAGCAAAGCTATTATTCTCATAAGACAAACTTAAATATTTTCAGCGCCTGTGACCTGCTCCCTAAAATCATAACGGTTCCCGAGCATACCTCATATCACAGCTTTGATGGGCATTTGTATAATTTTTGGTTTCCGGCCGATCGACTAGAACCATTCGCGTTTTCGCGTGGCTCCCCAAAGAGCGTTGCGGCACGGTGCGGATGAGGCGTCATTATTAAAACGCGTTAATTGCGGCGGATAACGCACAATGTGCGCGTGCCCGACCAAATCAAGCGTGTAATGGCGTAACCGTTCGCGAATTAGATCCGCACGCCAGCTGGATTGCTTATGCAACGATTGTTTAGCAATATATCTCATTGCTGAATCATAGAAAACGGCGCACGCTCTGGCATCAATCCCCCGCTTCAAGCGCAAGCGATTTACATAGAGACGCGTTTGTGTAAGCCAGTTCCGGAGTCGGGAGGATGTCATGCCGCATCGGCACGTTTAGGATAATGTACTCACCAAAAAATCTTTCGCAAACCATGATATCAAATTTTTATAAATGTTCGTACCTACATGCTCATAAATGCCTACCAATATGTTGTCCTCCCCGAACAAACATATCCAAGAGACAGTCGCTTCCCATGCGATTTGAACGTGTTTGTAGACGTTCCGTTGATGTGTCGGGCGAAAAATTAAATTATATCAAAAATCCTTTCTTTTAAAATAAAAAACAAATCTGTCGTATGTGCTGCATCTTTCGTTATACTGTATAAGTTAATAGAACAGAAATGTCGCAAAAAAAATAAAAAACGCAAATTTTGGGTGTCCAATTTCTCAAAAAGAAGACGATTTTGATTTTCCGCTTTCAAAAATAACTTCAGAAATATCCAAGTATGATACAAACTATAAACTGTGTGTTCCTCATGAAATTAGATTGACAATACTAGGTAGACGCTATATCATTCCAAGCAACTTGTTTTCCAGTTTTTTATATATATACAGGGTGGCGCATCGAAAACGAAACAGGCGCATTTACTGGCAGCTTGGTTTTTTTTGAAAACGCTCAGACCCGTCGATTTTGTTTTCGAAGGGGACACAAGTTTGGCAAAAAATCACGTTAGCACGTTCAGCCCCCTAAGCGCGGGTGACACCACCCCCAAAATCTTAAATAGAAAGGGAGGTCGAGTGATACCTTATTTTAAAGGTCTTTCAATTCCCTTCATAATGATATAAAATTAATGTACTTCAGTTCAGTAGTTTTGAAGATTTATTGATTTAAAGCTTAAATAAAACTAATACATTATGCTTAGTGGAGATCAATACATTTGGCAGCAAAGTAATTTAAAAATGAAGAATGAACTGACCCGTTAGGCAAGTCAATGTTGAAAATGGCCACCATGACTCTCCATGCAATAATAAAGATTTTGCTCAAAACGTTGCCGCACATTTTGAAATATTTGAGGAGTAATTTGAAGGCACTCATTCACAATTCTTTGTCGCAGGTCTTCTAACGATGTTGGCTGAGTAGCATAGATTTTGCTTTTTAAATGACCCAACATAAAGAAATCCAAAGGTGATAAATCTGGCGATCTTGGGGGCCATTCAATGGCTCTTTTATCAATCCGTTGATCTGGAAACGTCTGATCTAAATACTGTCGAAGACATAATGCGTAATGTGGTAGGGCACCATCCTGTTGGAACATCAACCTATTCGCAATGTACCGTCGATCATTCTGATTTTCAATTATGGCTGTTAATGCAGGACCTATGGCGTCTTTCAGTAATTCCAGATACATTTCACCGGTCAAATTTCCAGGTAAGAAAAAAGGACCAACTAAATGATCGCCAAAAATACCAGCCCAAACATTTAATTGTTGTGACTGCTGTGTATGAACCTCATGATAAATTCTGGGATTGGAATCGGACCAATGTCGGCAGCTATGACGATTTACTACGCCATTTAAGAAAAAGGAACATTCGTCGGAAAAGCAAGTGTAGAATAGAAAATGTCCATTGTTTATAATTCGTTCGGACATGTTCATTGCTGCAGTCAGAGGATTTGTTTCTTTTTCATAAAAATCCCAAATAGTATACTAATAGCTCTGACAAAGCCTACATCTTTCTGATACGATTGTACTATGTGGAAAATTTTTCTAGAAGTTGTTACGAAGGCGTGAATATTCAATCTACCTGTTGCCATTTTTTTCTAAATTTTTGAAAGAAACTGACATTTTTAGATAAACCCCTTGAATCATCGGATTTTTATTTTGCTTTTTCATATACTCGTGTCCGTCCCTCAATTCCGGCAGAATTATTCTTTATCTTAAAAGCACGAGAAATATAGTTCGCATAACATTTAGGCATCAATTTCACGTTCATGAGACGGTATAGTTGCGTCACTGTTGTAAGTAGGCCTTAAGATAGAAAAATGATTATTGTACATCTCCAAGTGCGTCCCTGCATCTGTGAGTGTTCGTTTGTGTGTGTATATATACACACACAGTGAGAATTCAATAATGTAAATTAATGGCAACTTTGTAACGAGATCAGTTCGAATGGCGAGAGCCGGATACTGGGATGCTGGTGTGCTGTTGGGTTGATGCCACCCTTACTGCAACGGCTACGTAACTGTGTCGATGCCCAGTGGCGTTTGCATATAATTTTGCATTTGATAAACAATTCAATGTTATCGACATCTCCGTTAATGATGAGGTAATAAATACTAACAACGACAACGATCAATTCACTTATATGCATCACAGGCATCATTATGTCAAGTGGCAGGAGATTTTTTTATATTGAAGCAGCCGCGTAGGCAGAAGCCTTACCGACGGAACACCGCGGCTGCTATGAGCATCCCAAAGAAATTTTGTTAATACGATTTTTGAACTGCTTAAGGTTAGTAGAACTGGGAAAAGCTTCATCAATAGATTCTCGACCTGCGTTACAGATCTATCAGGTGGTACCTCCTCGCTCGACACTCTGAAACCGTCTACCACCTATGATAATTATCTACATTCTATATGATCCAAAAAGACGTACTTTCAAAAACAAATATCATGTATGTATTCTGTTTTCTGCGCATTCCAACTGGAACAGTAATCCATAAATTTCTTTCCGGAACTCATCTAAGTGCCGTGGTGTGTAGAGTCACACCAAACACTAATAGGTGGACGACACGACTCGACGCAGCGCGTCGTCGCCATCGCATCGAGTGCAGAAAAATAAAGCAAACCGAACGCGCAAAGCAGAACGACGTCCAAAACGTGCCTGCTGCTCCTATCACTCCTGCAGGAAAGTAAACGCATGTATAATGAATGGCACACACATATTCCCTCCGACTTTTGCGGTGTGCAGCTCTGCAAGTTTCTAATGAGGTGGGACAGCTAGGAATTTTCCCGATGAAGCGCCATTCTCAAGTACAGAACCGGCTCAAGGGATTGTCCACCAAATAAGCGTGTATAGAGAAAAGGTCCTATCAAAAACTAGCAAAGGGGAATTTTCTAGTTGCCGACTGACGGTTCCGGATCTTGCTGCCACTTTCGCATCTGACATGACATGTACCGCGGCTGCTATGAGGAGCTTAAAGAAACTTTGTTAATCGGGCATTTGAACTGTCTACGCTCAGTAGAATTGGAAAGACCATCCTCATGTACACTGTGTTCCACAATCTCAATACTCCATGGACAAAAGAGCGACAATATAGGCCGGTTCTGGACGAACGAAGTTCGACACGGCTAGGATGCGAGACCGATGTCAGGCGGGTCTCACCGGCAGTCTCATCGTGCGACGGCATCATAGAGGAGAGCTCTGAGGAGCAGATCCCGGTGACGAAGCGGTAGAAGAGAGCTAGATAGCCGACGGCCCACTGAGAAAGGATCTCGAGACTGTTAGAGTCATCGATCAGTGAAGAACCCACCTCTAAACAATATCGAGCATGATTAATGTAGTCGGGGCCAAATATGTGAGCAGTAGATGATGCTAGATCTTATCTGGGCGACATGTGGAGAAAAGAACTCAGTCTACCTAACATATAGCCTAGCTTTTCCCAGCAATTGTCGCTATTGCCGAGATGTGTTCGTGCTAGATCAAGTCCTCGGTGATCTGGACTCCGAACTCGGTCATTCATCGAAACCGGATGAGCTCTGGGAGGCTTTTTGTTCGTCAAAATACAGACTGTGTCTTGGAAGCATTAAACCCTACAAGATTGTTGCGTCCCCTTGCAGTGATAACCTCCACGTTTCTCATCAGAGAGGAAGTCGCTGATAGTCTTCTTTTCTCTTACTGGAAGAGATCGGCTTGTCACTCTGAATTATTGCATGTAGAGAGCTGCCATCAGCAGAGCTGTGGATTGGATTGCTCATGCAGGTCGTTGGTATGTAAAGATACCTTTCGTGGAGGTTTTGGTCAAGAGGAACAAAGAAGGCAACATAGAACTTAAAGTGTATAAAAAAGAAACAAAAACACTGCGACTTATAACCAAAGTATCAAACCATTGTAATCAACACAAAATGGCTAGTTTTAACTTTTTTGTTCAACTAGTTGAATTACCACTAATTAGTAAAACTTTACGATAAAAAAAGTGGCTAGTGTCACAACGGTTATGATGCTGACATTGTAGAAAAATTAGTAAAAATACTTTTAACAATTCTGGACTCCACCACCTTCCAAGTTGGAAGGGAGACACCGAAAACCGGAGCGATCTCTTTCAGTTCCAAGTACACAAAATGTCTTGGAAATCTCTTCAAAGATGTGGGACGTAGTGTGTATCAGCCTAGTCCGCAGCTTAAAGGTTTGTTAGGAAACCCCAAAGACAAAGTAGACACACACTTAAAAGGTGTGAAACATATGAGGTTAGCTGTAGCGAAGCTAGAAGACATATTAGGACTAGGTTTAAAAATTATACAGAAGATAGACAGATCTGGTGCTGCAGAACACATGATCAATGGAGACTATAAGATAAATATAGAATTGCCAGAACTAGGCACATATGAAGGCTTAGAAATAGTTAGAGGTTAGGAAATGTAATGAACAAGGCTAGAAGTCCTACTTTTAACAGCCTGTAGTGTGCTCTAGCGACTACAGTGACGCGTTCCGTTTGAAGAGGTAGCGGCATCACGAATTTGGTTTTCATTGTACTGACTTGGCGATTGGTACAGCTCTGTTGTAGTATTATATTTTTAGCCGTCATGTAGCTGTTTGGTGTGGTGTAAAATTTCAGCAATACTGAATATGAATAGTATTCTTATATCTGTCTGGCCCCATTCTATACTAAATGCAATCAATGATGATAGTTAACTAGGAAGTTGGTAAGGATTCGGTTATTCTTATGAGTTCGAGCTCGGATCTGGAAATCTGAAAATGTATGGACAAAGATTATGGCTGGTTATATTTACTTAAAAAGAATACTTTCATATTAGAAAACTTCTCTGTAGATATTTTGATCTGTTTCAAGCCTATCTGCCCTTTCCCTATATCCAAGATGTTGGCCTTTCAAGAAGGAAAACTAAAAAAGCTATTACATATTCTTATCGACAAAATATGAAAAGCAGGATATTCAAACTAATGGGCTCGAGCCTTGAGCTGCACAAAGTCGCTATAGCGAAAAGCATATATCTGTTCAGAGGCGATTAGACAGTATCTACTATGACACCAGAATCAGCGGGACCTAACGGCCACAGTGGTGACCCTGCTGATAATCCGTATTTTCACTTTCGCAGTGGTAGATTGATGTAACTTTGTGCTGTTATTCCAATAAACCTTATACTATAAATAGAGAGATTGCTCAGCTTTTTTTCGTTGTCCACCGAGACCAGGAGTTGCCAAATAGAACGAAACATCTATCCATGGTTGACCGTCTGTGGTCGAAAGAACGAAAGCTGTATCTGCAGTTTACTATGCATCGTGTTCCAAATCCAACTCTGCAAAGTTCTGCGAGGAAATCAGGAGATTTCACAATTACTGGAGATTCGTAGAGACATAGATGGCATACAAAAATAAAGCAAACTGTTTGTGAACAGCTTCAGCTAGAAAGGTCTTTCATAGAAAACGATTTGAGACAGCATTTGAAGATAATGAGGCTTGATTGAGTAAAAGTTCACCGGGCAGTGAACTGCTAAGCAAGGTTATACCTGTATTATAGTACAAACAGTTTAGGAAGCATTCATGCCGCCATTGACGGTATTTCCAGGCCTTTAACAACATGGTATTGATTTGAAAAAATCTGTTTCAGAACCTTCTGAGTGTCATCAATTAAAGTTTGCTATCACAACAGCAGGTGTTGAATTTTTTTATTAACGGATTTGGCTTTCCTACTTCTAATCAAGCTACTCTAGAGGAAATTAAATATAGTATTTCGAGGAAAGCCGGGTCGTAACAGATCTTTTCCAATTTATTTCCCGCGCCTATTGGCGGGGAAGCGTTGTAATCGCGGATATTTTTGAATCTGAGTTTGTTTTTTGCATGTTAGGTATATAACATGTACGTCTCTTATTCCCGTCGGTATGTTTGTCTTATAACTGCCTATAACTTGAGCAGTACCACTCGGACTTTGATGAAATTTTTACATAATGTTATTATCATGTCAAGGACGCAAGATCTTTCAAAATCGAACCAGTGGCACCAGAGAAAAAAGCCAAAAACGGAAAAACATTAGTTTTTTGATGTTTTATTTGGGGATGTAGGGGGTTGTAAATTTACTGCCAACTGTAGCAATCGCAATAGGTAACTGTCTTGAGTTCGATGTCGACACGGACACACCGCTACACCGCTATAGAGGAAGATGTATAATATACTTTAGAAACAGCGTTCCGCGTTACTTGACTGTTTTTATATCTACACATATCTTTTTTTGAATTCTATGATCCTTAAATAGACTCGCCCATCTTTTTCCAATGCTTGTTACTCAGTATACGATGGTTCTCTGAATATTTCGTCAAGTAGATTAGCTCAATACATATCACGCAATAAGGCAGTGCAAAGCACCATCTATCATCAGAATCCAGAATCGATCACTACATAGAACGCATGGTTCGTATTTTTTGGTACAGTTCGTGGCAAATAACTCAACCACCATGTGACCGCTAGATGGCTGACGATTCTGGCTGTATAGTAGATGTTGTACTACTTGCCGTGGAATAGCATGCTTTCGTCAGTCCAACCAAGAGACAGCCGAGCATGGACAGCAGTTTCGTCATTGGCTACTCATCAGCCTGGTCTAGGTTTGGTCTCTCGTCTCTGTTACAACGAATAAAAACATCGCAACTATCCTCTATCACGGCCTAACCAAATAACACAGCGCAAAGCGTCATCTATCACCAGAATTGGCCACTGTTGAGAGCGCCTAGCTTCTATTTTTTGGAACTGTAAAGATCTCATGCTTCTTCAATGGCAAGTAGACCATATCTACTATACAGGGTGACTTTGAAGTTGAGTCATTAATTTTCAGATAATGATTGTAGAAGGAAGATAAACCAAAATATGTGTGTAAAAATTAAAAAAAAATTAAAAAAAGATGTACCTTATTTTATAAAGTATCCTCCCGACAAGTATTTCAGTGCGGACCTGTATTTGATCGCGAGGTCTTGGAGCACCGGCATGCCGTCTTAAGTCACCTGATTCACGAGCCCGTTGTACTACATTAACAAAGGCACGAGGGGTTGGTTGCACTCGATTGGGAAACAGATCCGCATAAACATGTGCCATTTTTTATTTCGTTTGAGCCACACAACAGATATCACTATTCACTGACGCGTTACCGACTGACACTGACTGTATACAACACAACTGAATAAAATAATTGTAAAAACATCGTTCCAAATTCTTTCGCTTTTTTGTTTCCGTTGCGATGAACCGATGGCGGATTATATCCGTTGTTGCCAAACACGAGCACATAATATTATCATTAAGACAGGGCGGTACTCAAACTTCCAAAGGGCTATAACTTTGTTGCTTTAATTTTACCAGAAAAATGGTAAAGGAAAAAAAACATTTCTTTTGATCAGATCTACTCACTGTTAAAATAAATGACTCAACTACGAAGTCACCCTGTATAGCCAGAATCGTCAACCATCTAGCAGTCGGACAAAAGCATAATGTTTACTTATGACGCGTTGATATACAAGACAAATGAGAAACACGAACTTGTGTGATGCAGATATCTTTAAGCAACCGAAGACTGCAGTTCGAATATTACCGCGATTTCAATGATTACATGATTCAGGTTTAGGTAGTCGTAGATTGAGAAAATGGATTCAGTGGCGGCGGAACTATGGACGACAGAATAAAAATGGCTTGCACATACTGATACAACGTTTTGGAGATTCCTTGAAGGGGTTGACTTTTCTGGGTTGCAAGCTGTATGCGGTAAGTGGTTGTAGACTGCTGCTGATCCTGGAATATGAGGGTTGATTCAAAAATAATTTTCCAAACGCTGTAACTTTGCCGAGCGTGACACTAGGCGAAATCTGGCAACTCCGTCGTGATCGTCAGCTCCCCCACTACCGATCGCAACAATAAGCGCCTAGTGGCGATGCTTAGTACCGGCCTGACAGCCATGCGCAATGGTGCCCCTCATGGCCAGCACTTCCAGGTGAGAAATTCATGCGGTCATCCGATTTTTGAACGCAAAAACGTTACCACCCATAGAAATTCATCCGCCAGTTGAGTGAAGGGTATGGGAAACGTGTATAAGCATTCCACATGTCCTCAAATGATAAATAGAGTTCTTTGACGGCCGCATGGACGTCTACGATGAAGAATGAAGCGGGAGGCCGTCAATCTTCGAGGCAATTACGGCGAAGATTGAACAAATTTTGCTTGGAGATCGGCGAATCACGATCCGGGAACAAGCGGTGTAAATTCCTGAGGCTTCTGAAAAAGCTAAGATGGGCAATTCAAAATCTTCGTAGAGAAAAACTCTCCAAAGCGTAAGACTGCACCACAGCAATGCGCATCTGCAAGCCTCACAACAAAAATTTGGGTGAAAAGCCACTGCCCATCCCCTTACAGCTCTGACATAGCATTTACGAAATTAAAGGAACTCCAGGCGGTCAACGGTTCGAGATGGAAGGGGCAGTAACCAAGTTTCCAAGCAGGCTCGCGACGGACTTTCTTGAGGCGGGCGTGAAGAAGTGGATTCCACGTCTATAAATATGCGTGAAAAATGGCGACTATCTAGAAAAATAGCTTAAAGATGAACGATTCCAACGATAAATTCCACTTTTCAAATTAATAATTACTTGTGCGTGAAAAAAATGTGGGAACCTTATTTTTGGGACAACGCTCGTATTATGCACCTGTTAGACATGTCACACATGTTTTCCCTACATCTGTCGTGGAAGCAGAAATATGATTAGGTACTCATTTCATATAGCTTAATACGTAGAGATCGAAGATTTATCGTACCTAAGTGAACCTAAATAGTCACGATTCTATTCCGTCTTTTGAAACGAATTTAGAGTCAATCTACCTGACGCCATTTCCATATAGATGATCTACTGAATCCGGAATGCTACTAGGATATTTTTTGAACCTAGAAAACAAAAAAAAAAGAATTTTTGGTATATTTTCTTCTGCTTTTCATCCATGCGATAATGATTAACACGTTGAAGAAACACAATTGATTTCAAATGAAAGTATTTTCAATGTTTGCAAAAAATAGCATTACCTCTTGATAGCTTCTCTACTGTTCAGGCTGGTCATACAGTTCTCAGTGAGTGCTTATTTAATTAAGAAGGTACTAGTAGTTCATATACTTTGAAGTTGAGTCATTAATTTTCAGATAATGATTGTAGAAGGAAGATAAACCAAAATATTTGTGTAAAAATAAAAAAACATTAAAAAAAATGTTACCTTGTTTTATAAAGTATCCTCCCGATAGGTATTTCAGTGCGGACCTGTATTTGATCGTGCGGTTTTGGAGCACCGGCAGGCCCTCCCCAAGGTCTTAAGTCTCCTGATTCACGAGCCCTTTGTACTATATTAACAAACTCGATTGGGAAACCGATTCGCACAAATCCGTGATGCCGCGGCAGCATTTTGTAAATAAGAATCATGTACACATGTTCAGCATTTTCGTAAACATGTGCTATTTTTTATTTCGTTTGAGCCACGCAACACACACCACTATTCACTCACGCGTTACCGACTGACGAAAAACATCGTGATAAACGTTTCAAATTCTTTCGCTTTTTTGTTTCCGATGCGATGAACCGATAACGCGGATT